TGATTAAAAAAAAAAAAAAAAAAAAAAAAAACGAATTCTGTTAAGCAAGATAGGACTGTTATTGTTTTGGAACACCAAAAGTTCGCAGCAATTGAAAAACACCGCATATCTGCATCGATCTGAAGCCTTGTTGGTGACTTTGCTCCGGTGGGGATCTTGAGATTCTGCTGAAAAAAATGTTTGATTTTCTTTTTTTTTTTGAATATTTTGTATGTTTGATGTGCAGGACAGAGCGCTGTTTCTACTTGGAGTGATTCGAATTCCGCTACAAATGCTACTGTTTGGGATGCTCTTCCCGGAGAAGTACGTGCGGAGCTTTCCGAATTGAAGGAAGTAAGTAGGGAATTTTTATCCATGTTTTCTGCTTTTCAGATTTCAAAAAAAGAAAAAAATTGGGATTTTTTAAACTATTTGTTAATTTGGGATTTAATTATTTGGGAATTACTGCCATATCTCAGGATAGAAGGATTTGGGCTTTGGTTGTTTTGAACGTTTTGACCCATCTCTCCGTTAAAAGCATTAAAATTGGCCCTGAATATGGATTGTTCGGGCAATTTTAATGTTTCTTGTGATTTAGAATGAATTTGCTCTATCTTCAGATGTCGATTTTTTCTTAGTGATTTTACAGCGGCTAAGTTGGATAGCTCTTAGGATAAAAATTTGAGAAGTACACGAAAATATATCAGAAACTTTCACGGGACCATATGCGGGAAACACGCACACCTGGAGGCTGAATTTGAATCAGAGGATGCACGGCATAGTGTGCATACTATTTCCTGTGGTGGTTCATGCATAGCGATACACAGCCCTCACCTATGTTGTCTTTTTCTGTAACCACAAGCAATGGTGCTGTGGTCTAATTTTTATGCGTTTTTTGCAGCTATGCAGTGCATATTGACGAGGGATTGTCTGTGTGTGTACACAGGTATGCGTCTGTCAGGTTTTTCATCTCGAGACCTACAAAAGCTATAGGGCTGAAACTTTGGGAACTTAATCTACATGCATTTTTTCCGGATAAGTTCATAACTCGGGGATCTGAGAAGCTAGAAAGCTGAAAAAGAATGTTCCCCGTCCAAGTGGGTATTAGTGAGCTCAAACCCAGCCCCTGGGTAAGCGTGGTACCCATATGCAGGCCCGCCAAAATTTTTTTCCGGCAAGTTGATAATCCGAGTACCTGAAAAGCTAAAGGGCTATAATTTTAAGAGGATATTCCCCGTCCGCCTTAGTTTCATTCAGCTCAAACCAATTCTCGGGTTTGCGTGGTAAACGCGCACGGGCCCGTGAAAGTTTTTTTTTCAGTAAGTTGCTAACTCAGGAGCCAGGGAAGCTAGAAAGCTGAAATTTTAAGGGAGTGTTTCCTGACAGTTTTGGCGGCGAGTCTTAATTTGTTTACCTAGAAGCATTTGCCGAAAAAACCGATGCCGGTAGCGGCAAAAACTGCGGGGAGCTATGTAAAAAACACATCTTCGCACGGGGCAGCGCGTGCGTTTTCCAATTGTCTTTCACAGTAATTTTTTTTACCTACAGAAATATCATGATCTCAATGGAATTGTGCAGCGTATGATGGCCGAAACACTGATCAAACCAACAAAGGTATGTGTTTAGAAGCAATTTTTTGTGTCTTTTTAATGTGGGCACAAAATAAAAATCTAAGACAAAGTTTTACATAGTACTGAGCGGACAAAGCAAAAAAAAGCTATACTTTTGCGCTTTAAGCTTTCGTAGTTTTCTTTAATTTTTACTGTTTAGCGCCACTGAAGCAGTTAGCGACATTTTCATACCCGGAGAATCTAAATTTATCACATCTAAGTGCTGCATGATGCAGTATAGGCCGATTTTTTCAACAAATTTTTAAATGTCTGAAATGGGTAAAACCCGTATTGATGTCGTTTTCTGGAAATTATTGTTATAAATTCCATAACAGTACGTTTATTTGCAGATTTTTGCGAATAAATCGACAGAATGCGCTGACCTGGTCACATCGGTGCAATCGGAAACGATGCGACAAGACGATTCATGCCAAACCCCAAATATTACTGTATATGAGCCAGGTTCCAGCATTGAAACATCATCTGAAAGTTTAGCGGTTGCTGCGTTACGTACGGAAATAGATGAATCCAAAAAAGTACATGATTCATTGGCGGCTATGCTTGATTGCGTCCGACATGCCCAGGTTATTGTTAATGTTTTTTTTTTTCGCCAAAATACCACTTTTATGCCTTTAAATGATACATTTCTAAACTCGTCATTGATGCAACTAGCAACTTCTCTATCCCTCTCTATTTTAATCTTATTTTGATCTTTTTTCATCCACATAAATTCCACATAACAGTTCAAGTGGACTTTTCTGCCGCGTCATCAGCTTTGCCTTTGCTTTTTATGCGTTTTTACCGTGCAGCGCTAGAGCACTGGAACAGACAGCAAAAACGCACATTGCAACGACCCTTTCTGTGTGTGTGTCTGTGGGTATGTATTAGTCTGTTTAGGTATTTCTACTCGCCAACCACGCAAGCTTTAATGCTGAAATTTTGCCAATGCATTCCCTGGCCAAGTGTGACTCCAGGAACATGATATCAACTGTCACGCACGCCTACGCCTCACACATAGACATATGAAATTTTTGCGGGAAAACTGCTAACTCGGGGACGAGAAAGGCTAGAAAACTGAAACTTTAGGGGAATGTTTCCTACTCATGTACGATCAAAAGCTTTCAAATGCAGCTTCTTAGGACTGCCTGGGACCCACGCACGGGCACGTGAAGGCTTTGGCGGGAGAATTGCTAACTCGAGAACGGGAAAAGCTAAAAGGCTGGAATTTTAAAGAAATTTTTCTTACTCATGCGCAACTGAAAGATTTCAAATTCAACTCCTTTTGTCGGGTCCTTTTCGCGTACCAGCAACTTTCTGTTTGTCGCGTTGCTGAAGCCGAAATCTACAACTGACATGCCACATAGCTGCACAATTAACTTCCTGAACTTTAAAGGCCAATATGTCATAAATTCGAATTACCGTGTTTCCTTGCGATCTTGCTGCAGCACGAAATATTGTAAAAACGATGCATTCCAGCCTGACTTTTGTATAATATGGGTGCAAAATTTCAAATTTTTTAAATGACATTTCTGTATTCATAATGAGATTGCACCTGATCCAGTTATTGGAGTATTGTAAAATTGCAGTATT